GTATTTTTATGATAAGATACTTGTACTTTTACTTAAGTATCACTTTGAGGTACTTTATACAACACTGCTTTTAACAAATATTTGGCTCCCTTTATTTTACTTTCATCCTGCTTGTTGCAGCTTTAAGAAATGTTTCAGTTTCTTCAGCTGATGTTAGTAAAGCACAACATTCACAAAACTGCATTTTCACACACACATCCTTGTACTTCCATCAAACTGAGGACATTGTATTGACTTCCATTCATTTTTGTAGCTGCATTTATGCCCATCCCAGATATTTTCCCCAACCCCAACCACAATGACTCTAACCAAAACACAAGTCACACCATACCTAACCTAACTTTGTAAACTGCAGTAGAACTTTTAAAAAAAGTGAGGACCAGGAAAAGGTCCTCACTTTACACCAAAAAATAAAAAAAACAGTTTGCTTAATTACTCTGCCATCTTTTTTGATCACTCGTCAGATTCTTGGTCTCTTTGTCAAAAAAGACATTTGTGCTGTCAGGATTATTTCATTAGAGAGGTGAAGCATGAAGCGATTTAAATTACCGAACCCCCCACCCCCACCCACTCCCCCACAGTCTCTCACAGGATTCCATTACTGCTAAATTAAAGTGCACATTGAAGTTGGGGATTCTGTTTTCACGTCTGGTTTATGTGACGAATGATTCATCTTCTTCCAGATGGAGTTGACTCCGACTGCAAAAAACAGTCCTGAATCTTTTACTGGGGCTGGTTGTCATGTGACTCAGCCTTCAACTGGCCCACTCCACAGTAAACTGCACAAAGTAAATGTAATTTTGAAAAGTATTGCTAATTCTATTTGTGTTCAAGAGGTTTTTGTTTGTTTGTTTTGTGTTGGACTCTGTCCATCTTCTCAAACAAAACTTTTGAATTCCTCAAAAAGAAAAGCTTTGAACTTATATCTGACAGTTGAATGAGCAAAAAAAAAAAAATCCTTGCTGTGGTCCGAGATTTTTATTCAACTCTTCTGTTTTATTTTTTTTAATCTCTCAACACAAAAAAAATGCACTGATTATGGTATTCCTCCATTTTTTATTATTTAATTCTGTTTAGTTTTTCAGTCTCTGCTTCTCGGCCAAGCCCCAGGAGCCAAGTTTTGACCACCAGGCACTCCAAAAAATCCCACTTCCAGGCCTGAGTTCAGGAGGGTATCTTGGATTTTTTTTCTCTGGTGAGGTGTTTTCACAAATACGATCTTTCTCCATCAAGGTTATGTGGAAATATGGAACTAATGAAATCACTGATGCATGTGGCTAAAAGCAGCTTTTACTCTAGGGTGGCAGGGTCTCCTTAGATGAGTAGCTCCATCTTCTTGGGAGAGCCATGCATTGATGGATGGATGGATGGATGGATGGATGGATGGATGGATGGATAGATGAATGGATGGATGGATGGATGGATAGATGGATGGATAGATGGATGGATGGATGGATAGATGGATGGATGGATGGATGGATGGATGGATAGATGGATGGATGGACAGATAGATGAATGGATGATGGATAGATGGATGGATGGATGAATGGATGATGGATGGATGGATGGATGGATGATGGATGGATGGATGGATGGATGATGGATGGATGGATGGAAAGCAAGATGCACCAACTCATTTGGTTTTTGAGCTCAGAAACACTGGAACAAGCAGTCAGATAGAAGGGACAACACATCCCTTAAAATAGCTTCCCTTCATTAATCATTTCCAGTTAAACCATAATATTCAGAATGAAAGAAGAAGCAAAACAAAAACACTTTTCTCATTTGTCTTGAATTTTTCTGGAACTGATCCTTTAAGCTGTCACCTAAAAGTGAAATGGACTTTCTATAACTGACATTAAAAAAGTGAAGAAAAATGTGGTTGCCAAACTTTCCAAGGTTTCTCCGTAATCACATAACTCCAAAGAAAGTGCTCCATTGCTTTTATTTAATAGGTGTAAAAACCTTGAATTATAATCAAAAAGACATTCATTTATATTTGATGGTAAACATAATCTGACCATTTACTTGAATAAACGAAGACCCTAAGTGAGATTTTGGAGTCTGACTGACAAGAATGTTGAATAATAATAATAATAATAATAATAATAATAATTTGTGTTTTATTACTGTACTGAGTTTTATTAAATGTTCCTGCATGGTAGACTCAAGCATTCAGTTTTTTCCTCCAATTTGTTTTTCTTTCTGCACCCACCACCTTTCTTACATGTTTTTCTTTTCGCTCTTTCAACCCAATTTTTCCATCTCTCTTCCTCCTGTCATCTCCTGCGTTCAACGTTATCAAATTCACAGCCTCCCTCTGTGTCTGCTACGTCCTTTCATTTCCCTGTCATGCTGTCTATTTGATTCAAACCTGACTTCCTGAGGTTTTCCATTCTCTACAGATTTTGGACAATTATTATTTTTTTCTACTTCAGCCCCAAAGACTTCCTCCATGCCTTCTTCCTTTTTCATTATATTTTAAAGGAACTTTGAACTTTTGTCCCTCAGTCCTTTTGTCACTTCTTTCAGAAGCTCTTCTTTCTCTCTAATATGTCACATGTACTTTGTCATTTTTTCGATCGTTTTCTGACTCTAAGTTACTTTAGTTGAAATTGGTTCACTTTACAGCCAGCTGTCATCTCCTTCCAGCACCATTCTGCATCTCAGGAAATGAAACCCAGTGTTTACTTTGGTCTTCTGCATCTCTTTAAAGATAAAAATAAGTTTTTAATTGAGAAACTTTTTCCATGTCTTTGAGCTCTCCACACTCCTGGAGACTCAAAAAAGTATTACTCACATTGATCATTGAAGGATATTTTACAAATAGAGATTTTAAGCTATAATATGCTTTAAGACGTTTTGGCAGCCTTTTAATTAAGCATGATTTAAAAACAGAAATGCAAAAATGGAGGATATTAGAATATTAAGCAGAAATGGAGTTTTTTTTATAACATCTGCCTGCACTTTTTCTTGTTTTTCTTTACGAATTCCTTTTGTCTCCTCTCTCCTCGTGTTTCCTCCTCAATCTCTTCAGACGCTAAACGGCCTCCTCCCACGTCCTCCTTCTCCTCTGCTCGAACCACTGCTCTCGAGATAAACCTAAACCACTGTGAAAACAGGCACGGCCTTCAGCTGCTGAACTCATCACTGCGGGGAGAGGAGCCCAGGGGAGCAACGGAGACAAGAATACAAGAAGAAAAGTAAAAAAGATGCAGAAAAAAATGTGCAAGAAAAATAACTTGGCTCTCGCTTTTCCACATTGCAGAAAGTCAAAGGCAGTTTCACTGTGTAATACTTTCACAATGAACCTATTGAACCTGCTGACATAAAAGCTGTAGCTGTAAAAAAATACATAGTTGCACTAAATTATTGATTCAAAGGTTAGTTTTTGTCTGCAAAAGAARTAAAAGTTTGTTGGCATTTGGAAGTCCTCCACTGTCAGATTTGAGCATCAGGTCTATTATTTTATTTTTAATGTAAATGCAGCTGCTTTTGACAGGGTTGACTGAACAGTGATTTCCACTGATCTTTGTTTGCAGTCTGAGTATTCATGACAAAGTGCCTTCAGGGTGTTTTTTCCCCCCCATCAGGTTTTGAAGCATCCATTAAAGTTTGTCAGTCCAGAGACAGAGAGAGACAGACAGCCGTGTATCCAGTTTGACTCAGCTGCATTGTTACTCCATGAGTTTTTWGAGAGCATGAAAACTTGCAACGATTCAATATGTTCTGCATAAAGGTCAAACCACCTCACAGTCTTGGGACGCTTAACAACTGTAAACAATCATCTTGAACGGAATGGCAGAAACAGGAAAGGTCTCACAAAACCGTGACCTGCCTGTGGGCTTGAATAAACAGAACATTTGGGGTGGGGGGGAGCGAGTCAGACCAAGAGAATTTTATTGAGCATTAAATGTGAAATAAAACAGATGTATAGCTGTGAAATTCAAGACAGTGAAACAAATGAGATGGACAAAGACACCACTTTGTCTGCTGCAGCAAAGATCACAGCAGGGTTGTAAAAAAGCACTTTTCAGAAGCTCTAGTTCAGCAACATAAATCCATGATTTAAACTGGAGGATGGTGTCGTACAGAAGCCGTGTTGACTGAGAAGACTGATAACATAGAGTTTATTGCTCAAAGTTTAGCATCAGTTTTTTTTTTATCAAGGCTTTGGGTCTTACATGTTTTTCAGTGTTGGACCTCCAAAATGATGGAGAGACAGAGCAAGGACTCCCTTTATTTGCAGTGTTGCAATACAGCTAAAATAACAGCCTTAATAAGCTCTCAGAGAAACAGAYAGGGTCACATGACCTGCCCAGTATGGATAGTGGGCGGGTCCTTCTCWTTGTGTGCAGAATGCTTGGAGGGTCAGGCTGTGAGTGAAGCAGAGCTGAGCTGGTGTGCTCACTGAGTGTGGGCCTTGCTGACTGAAATACATTATTTTATGCCTCCATTTGGCAGTTTGCYACGTTAGATTTGTGGTAATGTGTGTTTAAAGACATAACATAAAAACAAACATAATAAACGTTTTAAAGTCGACCTAATATGGGTTCATTGAACAAGTTAGGATACATCTGTAGGATGCTCAAAACAGTTAGAAAATGATGGGAATCAAGTCCTTAATTATTGACTTACTTCAGGTCAACTTTAGATCATCATTAGTTGTAAACAATGTGTTTTCCTTATAAAACATATAGCTGTTTTACATGATTGTTGTATGAAATTAACATTAATTATGAATTATATTATTTATTGTGATGAAAATAATTCTGACAGATGGAGTTGGGCTTGCTGATAATCCAATTGTGTTGTCAGCTGTGAGACATTGACCTCTTCAGGCACCATCTAAGCTTCTCCATGATGTCACAGATGTAAACAATGAGTGGACAGGCAGAGCTCACTATAGTGTCTTATAGGCCTATAATCAGAATCAGCTTTATTGGCCAAGTATGTTGCTCTCTATGGTTCTAATTTATCTGAGATGCATAAATGCCTGATGGTAATCCAATAAGGTAAATGCCTCAGTGACTYTAAGAGCTACACCAGCATAACCGTCTTCAGGTGGGACACCCAGCTGGACAGATCTTAGGGAAGCTCAATCCATCTCTTGGAAGTAGGACACAGCAGACAGTAAAAACCAAATCCTATGAAGAAAATACTCAATAACAACAACAACAACAACAACAACAACAACAACAACAACAACAAATGTAATGGAGCACAATGTGGACATATGACGCCCCCTTAATATTTCCGTCTGCCCCCTCAAGTATGCATTCCCAGAACCGGCCCTGGTGCACGTTCTGTATATAACAGACTGTTGTCTGAATGCAAAACATTGTGAAGCACTTAATAACAATTAGACGAGGTTAAAATGTAATATATGAGTGTGGAGCATGCAAAACATTGTAATAAAACACTAAATAGCTTTTTTTACTGCATATTTGAACTGAAGCCAAGTTACATCCAGTCCACCCTTCTTTAAAACCAACAGAGATTACAGAAACATCTGGAAGTTTTCATTTGTTTTCAGAAAAAAAATAATTATCTGTTGTCCTGATAGTCCTCAGCTTTATCCTTCATCTCTCTGTTTTGTTTGCTCACAAACAAACAGAGGATATATGTGCTCCCCCACCCCATTCTTTAATCAAAAATTGTAATTTTTTTTAGGATTTATTTCAGTTACAAAATAATGAAATCTCTTCAGCCCCATGTGAAATACCTTCCTTGTTCTTTCTGCTAGTTAACTTGTGAAAAAAAGAGAAAATCTGTGGATAAATGTTGGAGTTAGTTTATAAGAGTGTGAGTTTAGTCATGACAAATGTGCTCTGTTAGCTTGAATGAAACCAAGTATTTTTGTTCTCATAATTCGTTTACATAAAGCACAACATGAGCTCTTTGGGATGATGTAAGGGATTATAAGGGACTTATACATAAACTGACAAATTGTCTTAATGCACCAACAACAGAAGAAGCAGTACAGGAGCATATTAGAGCTGCTGCTCCGTTCTACTCCAGTTGTCGGTTTACTTTTTATGATTGACTTCCCTCCTCTTTGCACAGTTCTCTGTCAACGACCTGAAAATATCCACAGGCTGACTTTGGTCCAGATAATTATAGAGGAGAACAAATAAACCCAAAACACATTTTGAAGCCCAGGCCACACATTTTTGAGTGTAAAAAAATAATGATGATAAAACGTCTCAGAATCTCATTATGCAGAATGTTTTTATGCAAAGCTCAGAGTTTTGTGGTGGCTTCATTAACGTTACACACAGCTCAGTCGGTCTATTCCAAAAAATCCAATTACAGATGAAAACATCGTCTTTGTTTACCTTTGTGTTGTGAATTCCAGTTGTAGGAGTCAACACGGGAAAACGCAGCAATTTAAATTTCTTCCTTTTGAACCCGAATTAAAGCAGTTTAGATTGTGGGTTCAAGTCCCATTTCCTGCCATTCCAGAAATGAAGCCACATCCTATTCACTCCTGGAGTTATGACTGGTTAAAGAAACACATTTGACCTTTTAAATCATATTCAATAGGACATTACAAAAGTACTAAGCATAACTGCACAAGCCAATTGGCAAGATGAATTATCTATGTGAGTCCAGTTTTTAGAACCTGCAGTTATGCTCCACAGAGCAGAACTGCTTTCATGGTTTACGGCCTAATAAAAACTCAACTGCACTGAAAATGGGAACTTCAGAACATTGAAACATTCCCTGAGGATAACAGCTCATTTCCACAAAGAAAGAAAAGAAAGGAGGAGATAGATGAGTATGCCGCGCATGRAATCAAATATATCTTTTAGAAATAAAAGCTTTTTCATCCCAGGCTGATGATAATAATTCATGAATAACCAGACAAAGTAAGGGAAGCTTTCAAACACAGTTTACACTTCAAACCTGCACTGTATCTTAGAAAATCAGATGACATGTTTTTTAAAAGATCTACTATCATGGCTGCTGTTGCAGACATTTCCACTGGCCCATGCATTGTGCAAATGGTGTATTTCTTCTTGTTGACATCTTGGATATGGATGATTTAAGCAACCGTGCCCCGAGCTGTTTGCTTTCATCCTTCTTCCGACTGTTTGTATTCAGGTGGAAATGCTTTTAAAAGGAACAGATGATAAAATCTCCCTCCAGCTCCGTTACTCTCTCCAGCTTTGCCAAATATTCCRCGTTTATTTGTTATTTTGTTTTGAGTATGTGTGCAAAGATTACTTTTTAACAGAAAAATAACCTCTCAATCTTTCAATGTATATATA